TGTATGTGGCTGGTGCCTTAGCCGCTTGAGCCACAGGCGCTGAGCCAGGTTAGATTATTTTTAAAGTCTACTTTCAGTTCTGAATATTTGTGCCTGTCTTGTAAATTGTCTTACAAAAGCAGATAGATTGTCAAGTATAGTGTAATAGTATTTTTTTTAATGTATAAGAAATGAGAAAATGGGATATGTTTTGTTTTATAATTTAAGTATAATTGTCTTTTATTATGGTTAGTTTCTTACATGAAAACTTTATAAAAATGAGTATTTTTCAGGGTAGCCATTGCAAGGTCATCAAACTCTTTCTCTACACATTTCAAGGAATTTTTATTTGAAGAACTAAACAAATTTAATAGGCTGAAAGTAAGCAATAAAAAAGGTATTTTATAAGCTAGGGAGACTCAGATGACATAATTCTTATATCCTAGTGTGTGATAATTTATCTCCCTGCACGTAAAATTTAAATCCTCAGTTTTCTAGGATACTTGTACCCTCTCCTGCTAAGGTAGATAACTTGCTTGTGATAAACTACCACTCACTCCTATGTTATTGATGGATTTTTTTTTTTGTACTTTTGATATGGTACACTTCTCACCTTTTATTCCTTTTTAGATAATTCTTACTAGTCTCTGATCTTTTTTTTTTTTTCTTTAAGTCAGTTTCACTTTGTCACCCTGAGTAGAGTGCTGTGGCATCATAGCAACCTCAAACTCTTAAGCTCAAGCGATTCTCTTGCCTCAGCCTCCCAAGTAGCTGGGACTACAGGTGCCCTCCAGAATTCCCAGCTATTTTTAGAGATGAGGTCTTGCTCTGGCTCAGGCTGGTCTCGAACCTGTGAGCTCAAGCAATCTACCCACCTCAGCCTCCTAGAGTGTTAGGATTATAGGCGTGAGCCACCGCACCTGGCCATAAAGGTCATAGAGGCCATAAAAAAGATACGGTTTTGGTGAAGGTCTATCAGGTTGGTATTAGGAAATTTTGCTTCTTACCTTCTTAATATTAATCTCATAGCAAGCCTATTTTTAAGATTATAAATATTTTCCTTAAAGTGAATTTTAGTTACCTGTAACTTTTTTTTTTTTTTTTTTTGAGACAGAGCCTCAAGCTGTCTCCCTGGGTAGAGTGCCATGGCATAGCTCACAGCAACCTCCAAATCCTGGGCTCAAGCGAGTCTCCTGCCTCCGCCTCCCAAGTAGCTGGGACCACAGGCACCCGCTACAACGCCGGGCTATTTTTTTCGGTTATAGCCATCATTGTTGTTTGGCGGGCCTGGGCTGGATTCGAACCCACCACCTTAGGTGTATGTGGCTGGCGCCGTAGCCACTTGAGCCACAGGCTCCGAGCCAGTTACCTGTAACTTAAGAGCAGTTTGAAAACATGGCTCTTAAGTAAACAGACATTCAGGGGAGGGTATTCTCCATTACAAGTTCTTTAAACATAAAACTGGGAAAATTGGCCAGAATGGTGGCTCATGCCTATAATACTAGCAGTTTGGGAGGTCTTGGTGGAAGGATCACTTGAGACTGCAGTTCAGGTTTACAGCTAGCTATGATTACGCCACTGTACTGCAGCCTAGGTGACAGAACTAGACCCTATCTCTTAAAAAAAAAAGAGAGTTGGAAAATCTTTAGTGCTATGGTTAGTGGTATATATATGTGAGAGTCACATGGGTTTTTTTTGTTTGTTTTTACAAAAGAAGCTTTAGCCCCATGTAATTAGGCACTTGTTTGTTTGTTTGTTTAGCAGGCCTGGGCCAGGTTTGAACTTGCCAGCCCCGGTGCAGGAGGCTGGTGCTCTAACCATTGAGCTACAGGTGCTGAGCAGGGACTTTTATATACTTTTGTTTTAGGTGAACAGCATATTTGAAAGCAGTAGTAGGGTTTTGATTCAGCTTCTGTAATTCAGGCATTGTCCTGAGTATCAGTGATAACAGAATGAATCTAGGGTGTGGTTTCACCCAGAGGACCATGCTTGGCATGTTCTTAACAGAGAATAATTTCTGTTTATATCTCCTTTTACCTGTTCCCTGTAAAATGGGAAAGAATAATGAAGGGACAAATTTATTATTGGTTAAATTAGAGCTGTTATTATCTCAGTAGCCGGACATTGTGGTGGGCACCTGTAGTCCCAGCTTCTTAGGAGGCTGAGTTTGAAGTTGCTGTGAACTGTGATGTCATGGTACTCTACCCAGGGCAACATAGTGAAACTCTGTCTCAAAAAAAAGAAAAAATATATTTATAATTATCTCAGGATTAAAAAGCAGAATTCATTCTTAGGAAATCTATAAATTTATGGATATGATTTTCTATTCTATTTAATAAAAGCAATTTCAACATAACTCATGTATGGATTTATTTTTGTACTAGATGGAAACAATATGAAGCATATGTACAAGCTTTGGAGGGCAAGTACACAGATCTTAACTGTAAGTATGAATTTTAGCTTTCTAAAGACTATGAATAGTCTCCTATCAGATTGTTGTTACAAACATGGAATAATTGGTTTATTAAATCAAATGCTTAAGCTCATACATTTTATTTATAAGAAGTACATGTAGGCCCTGTGTTGGGTACTGGAAAATAGATGAATGAGACAATCTCTATTGAGGAGTTCTCAGTGAGGAGGATAGACATGTAATAATCGTACCCTTCCAGCAAAATTAGGGACAAGGTTCTGACAGAGTATAGGTAGGATAACTCATAACTAATTGAAACTCTTCTTTATCTATTCCTAACCCCTTCTAGGTAGGAATTTGAATTGAAGCATGAGTTTAGTCTAAAAGAGAGATATATAGAAACAACCAATGATAGATACATGAGAGCTTAAATTAAAACATTAGGATATAGGGCGGTGCCTGTGGGGCACCAGCCCCATATGCTGGAAGTGGTGGGTTCAAACCCAGCCACAAAAAAAAAAAAATCCATTAGGATATAGCTATATATTTACATATCATTTCAAACCTGCTATAAATAATAACTAAGTTTATAATTAGGAACCATTTTAGTCTGTCACTTTTCACAGAGTTTGAATAACATACTATTTCAAAGTATAAAAACTATATGTGGGCTTGGTGCCCATAGCTCAGGGGTTAGGGTGCTGGCCACATACACTGAGGCTGGCAGGTTCGAAACCAGCCCAGGCCTGCTAAACAATGACAACTGCAACAAAAAAATAGCTGAGCATTGTGGCTGGCAGGCACCTATAGTCGCAGCTACTTGGGAGGCTGAAGCAAGAGCATCACTTAAGCCCAAGAGTTTGAGGTTGCTATAAGCTGTGACACCACGGCCCTCTACCCAGGGCAACATAGTGAGACTCTGTCTCGAAAAAAGAAAAAGTATTGTTTTCTTAGTTCAGAAAGCTTAATACCATGAAGTTACAATAATCAAATGACTGTTACAATCTACACAAGTTGTGAACATTATGAAAGTTTGCAATACTAATTGTCCATGCGGTTATTGCCAGTTTTGTTTTTTGTTTTTTTATTTTTGGGGATTCATTGAGGGTACAAGAAACCAGGTTACACTGATTGCATTTGTTAGGCAAAGACCCTTTTAGTTACTGCTGTTTTTATATTGCATAGGTTAAAAATTACTAATTGAGGTTTTGTGAATACTGTGTAACATAAACAGATGCAGATAATGCCGTTTCCTGTTCTCTTTGGAACAAATGAAACAATAAAAATACAGTTCGGCCTGATACTGTATTGGATAGCTGTGGAGCACTGTAATCCGCTCTGGTGGCTAGAAACAAATAGCCTTGTCACATAAGTGGTTAGGATGGAAACATTAAAGGCTTGGAACTAGGAATTAACCTAGTTTTTGTTACTCTCACCAGAGGTAGTTAGAATTATTTTAATTAGCCCAGTTTGATCTTGAAATTACATTTATAATGTTTGGAATTTTTTTCTCTTTTAAACATCAGCCAATGACGTAACTGGCTTAAGGGAGTCTGAAGAAAAGCTAAAGCAACAACAGCAGGAGTCTGCGCGGAGGGAAAACATCCTTGTAATGAGACTAGCAACCAAGGAACAAGAGATGCAAGAGTGTACGGTAAGTATTTCAAGTTGTAAAAGTCTTTAATTGAAGAACTGATTTTTAATCCATATTAGAGTATGTATATTCTGTTGAGGTACATATACTTTGGGTTGCACATATAGTTACCAGATTTAAAATTTTGGTAGATAGCATCTCATTATTTAGATCAAAAACTTTGTGGCCAAGTGGTGCCTGTGGCTCAGTGAGTAGGGCATTAGCCCCTTCCATATACTGAGGGTGGTGGGTTCAAACCCGGTTCTGGCCAAATTGCAACAAAGAAAATAGCCAGGCATTGTGGCAGGAGCCTGTAGTCCCAGCTCCTTGGGAGGCGGACACAAGAGAATCGCCTAAGCCCAAGAGCTGGAGGTTGCTGTGCTGTGATATCACTGCACTCTACCAAGGGCGACAAAGTAAGACTCTGTCTCTAAAAAAAAAAAAAACTTTGTGGCCAAGAAGGCAGAACTTTTAAATTACTCTCTGAAATTTCCATGCTTTATGAGAATTAGTATATCTGTTCCAGATATTTTTCAGATAGCTAATTATTATTTTTTAGGTATCATCTGAGGATATAATCAATAAAAGAGCATTCATTCCTTATAGAGTTTTTTTTGTTGTTGTTTTTTAGGGTTTTTTGAAACAGAATCTCTCTCCCCTTGGGTAGAGTGAGGCCGCATTATAACAACCTCAAACTCTTGGTTTTGAGCAATCCATGTGCATCAGCCTCCTGAGTAGCTGGGACTACAAACATGCACCACTATGCCCAGCTAGTTTTTCTGTTTTTTAAATAGAGGGTGTGGGGGGCGTGGTCTCACTCTTGCTTAGGCTAGTCTCAGACTTGTGACCTCTGGCAGTCCAGCCACCTTGGCCTTCCTTCCAGGGTGTTAGAATTATAGGTGTGAGCCACAGCACCCCACCCATTTCTTACAGCTTTACTTCCACTGGCTAGGGAAGCCATCCAATTAGTCTTAATCCCTCTGTGTGTAGAATTATTCCTAGTGTGAGCAGTTCTATAGTAGTTTTTCTTTTTTTTTTTATTGTTAGAACTTTGATTTGTACCATTTACCATATCTTAATAGATATGAAATCTGGCCCAGCACCCATAGCTCAGTGGGTAGGGTGCCAGCCACATACACCAAGGCTGGCAGGTTCAACCCAGCCCGGGCCAGCTAAATAACAATGACAACTGCAACAACAACAAAAAATAGCCGGGTGTTGTGGCAGGCGCCTGTAGTCCCAGCTTCTTGAGAGGCTGAGGCAAGAGAATCTCTTCAGCCCAAGAGTTTGAGGTTGCTGTGAGCTGTGATGCTACGGCACTCTACCCAAGGCAACACAGTGAGACTCTTACTTTAAAAAAAAAAAAAAAGATCTTAAATCTAGTGACATTTAGTCATCTAGTTTTGCTAATTCAGACTGAATCTTATGGTATTTTTGATTCGAGTGTATTGTATACAAAACAATTAGAGGCGGCTCTTTGTTTCTGACTTTTAAATCTGCACGTTTTTTCAATGCTTTATATACTCCATTCATTTGATAAATTTTATTGAACTCTTTTAATGTGTAAAAGCATTATTCTGCTTACTGGAAATAGTAAAAATCTATGATACAGTCTTATTCCTATTTCTTCTCTCATCAGTATAATATTTCTTAGGGTTCAGTTATACTTTCTATGCAGAGATTGTTTGCAATTCCATAAAAGTCCCTATTTTCTCTTCATTCTCTTTTTTTTTTTGTGGAGACAGAGTTTCACTTTATTGCCCACATTAGAGTACAGTGGCGTCACAGAGCTCACAACAACCTCCAACTCCTGGGCTTAGGTGATTCCCTTGCCTCAGCCTTCCAAGTAGCAGGGACTACAGGCACCCACCATAACGCCTGACTATTTTTTTGTTGCAGTTTGGCTGGGGCCAGGTTTGAACCTGCCAACTTCAGTATATGAGGCCAGCGCCCTGCCCACTAAGGCCACAGGCGCCGCTCTCTCTTTATTCATTTTTTTTTTTTTTGAGACAGCCTCAAGCTATCCTTCTGGGTAGAGAGCCATGGCATCACAGCTCACTGCAACCTCCAACTCCTGGGCTTAAAGAGTCGCCTGCCTCCGCCTCCCAAGTAGCTGGGACGACAGGTGCCTGCCTCAACGCCCGGCTGTTTTTTGGTTGCAGCCATCATTGTTGTTTGGTGGGCCCAGGCCGGATTCGAACCCGCCACCTTAGGTGTATGTGGCTGGCGCCTTAGCTACTTGAGCCACAGGCGCCGAGCCTTTATTCACTTTTTATAAAAAGACTTCTTGTTACTTTGCTGAAGAGTAGCCTTTATCATTTCTTCCATCATCTCACTACTTTCTCTCCTTTTTCTGCCAATTTCTTTTCAATTTTTATTTTTATGCAAAAAAATGAATCTTAACTACAGAGTGTTAACACATGGGAGGTGGAGTATGAATATATAGTACTAATGCTACTTACTGTCTCGTCAGAGCAGAGTGCCTTAAATTCTTTCTCCCTGATTCTTCCCCTTGATGTTGTAGTTCAGATACACTTAGTATTTTCCTAGACAGTATATGCTATCACTGTACCCCTGTTTCTTCATTTGTCCTATTTATACTGGCAGGTTTTTTTTTGTTTATTCGTTTTTGTCCGGAGCTGGGTTTGAACCTGCTACTTCTGGTATATGGGATCAGCGCCCTACTCCTTTGAGCCACAGGTACCACCCAAGTATACTGGCAGTTTTAGTGACACTCCATCAGTCTTTGTCTTCTCAGCCTGGATTTTAAGGTTCTTTCTTCTAGAACCTAACCTTTTTCAATCATCTTTTTAAAATAGCTCTCTTCTATACAGGCCAGCTGAACAACTTCTGTTCTTTCCATTGTAATACACAGTAAGTTTTTTTTGTTTGTTTTTTTGAGACAGAGCCTCAAGCTATCCCCCTGGGTAGAGTGCCATGGCATCACAGTTCACAGCAACCTCTAACTCCTGGGCTCAAGCAAGTCTCCTGCCTCCGCCTCCTGAGTAGCTGGGACCACAGGCGCTCACCACAAAGCCCAGCTATTTTTTGGCTGCAGCCATCATTGTTGTTTTTTGGTAGGCCCAGGCTGGATTCGACCCTGCCACCTTAGGTTATGTGGCTGGCGCCTTAGCCACTTGAGCCACAGGCACTGAACCCACAGTAGGTTTCTATGGAGAGGGGAACAGGAACAAAAACACAAAGAAAGGGCCAGATTATGTGTGGTGTGAGGATGAAGTTTCAGGTGAGAATGAAAAGAGATACTCAGGGTCAGGGCTTCGGATCTTGAATATTATTTAGGGGGGGGGGAGAGAGAGCCCCTAAAGAATTTCTAAGCAATAAATTTATAATGTTGGTCAGATTTGCAAATTTTTTTTTTTTGAAACAGAGCCTCACTATATCGCCTTCAAGGTAGAATGCTGTGGCATCACAGCTCACAGCAACCTCAAACTCTTGGGCTGAAGCGATTCTCTTGCCTCAGCCTCCTAAGAAGCTGGGACAGGTGCCTGCTCCAGTGCCTGGCTATTTTTTTGCTACAATAATTATTGTCATTTAGCTGGCCTGGGATGGGTTTGAACCTGCCAGCCTCGGTATATGTGGCTGGCGCTGTAACCACTGTGCTACAGGCACCTATCCCAGATTTGCATTTTGGGTAGATCATTCTAGCTTTAGTATGGAAGATGGCTTTGAGAGGAATAGGAATTATAGCAAGAAAACCTTGGGAGGCTCTTAAAATAGTCTAGATGAGGTAACAAAGCCACTGATGTCAGGAAGAGGAGGATGGGATGTAGGTGTTTTAGAGGCACAGGCAGTAGGACTTGATCAGTTGGATGCTATCAAGGAAGGAAGAAAGAAATTTAGGAAGGAATCACAGATGGCGTGCAGGTTTTTCCTGTCTGTGATGCTACTAGGATGGATCAAATTAAAAAGAAGAGCAGAATGTAGTCTTAGGAAAACTGAGAAGATGCAGTATCGATGTCCCCTCCCCCCACCTTCAAAAGATAAAGAAAATAATAGTGTCGAAGGCAAACATCAGGTTTAATGAGTTTTAAATTGTTCTCTGGATTTGGCAGTGAGGAATGCTATTGGCCACTTTAGTTTGGCCACTCTAGTTAAACTTGTTTCAGTTGAGGGTTGGGCAGAAGCAAGATTGTAGTAATTTGAATAGGAAGAGATGTATCAAATATAGACAGTGGCTAAGATTATTTCTTTATTGAGGTTATATTGAAACTAGGACATACTGTTTGATAATTAGACAAGATTGGGAGAGCTTTTTTTTTTTT